TGACCTAAGTATTAGAAAAGATGGGATGGAGGTAAGGGGGGGGGGGGTAATTTAAGTAAATAATTTACTTGTATTGAGAAAGTATTTTTTTGATTGAAAACTATAAATTTTCTCAAATCAAGAAAATATTTTCTCGGACAGAGAACATACTTTCTTGATTTGATACATAAATGATTTTGAATTAATATATTCTGCATTTCTTACATGCTACTTAATTTCTTGGTAGAATTCCATATTTTCTTGGATCAAGAATATCTGTTCTTCTCACAAAATAAATGTTTTCTTCATTTAATCTTGAATTACTTGAACGAACGTTACAAAACATTGAATGAATCGAATAAAATAATTCAATCATCTATATATATTCTTAGAACAAGAAAATATTTTATTCATTTAATACATTTTATATTTCGTATAAGAAGATTAACTTCTTGGTCGAATTCCATATTTTCTTGGATCAAGAATATATGTTCTTCTCCCAAATATCCTATGTCAAGAAAATCGTTTTCTTGAATCAATACTTTAATAGTCTTGGCCGTATTCAATCCCACGATTTTCTTCAACCAAGAAAAATTTTCTTGGTTCAATACTTTTTTTTTTTCAGTGTAGAGACAGGCGTTTTTGTACTATGTCTTTTCTAATTTTTTTTAAACCATTTTTTTTTGTTTTTTGTTTTTGTTTAATTTCTACGTTACACTTTTACGGTCTTTCTCGTGATGAAAAACACAAAAAAGAAATAAAACATAAATAAAAACAAACAAAAACAATAGGTGGCCAACTTAGGACCCAACCATAGATCTTTTGCTGCTCCAACAATATACAGCCAGCCATAGAATATAGAAGCAGCAACCTTAACTATATGGATATCCCGTATTTTTCAATATAATATGGTTGTGATATTCATGTATCTGCGGATGTGTCAACTATTCCTTTTTCTCCGTGCATAGACATAGAGAAAGTGTAATGAAAATGTGTTATTATAAAGGGTAAAATAAGAAGTTTGAAAAGTAGAATAGCTGAAATTCAAAAATTATGTGAAAATATAAAGTAAGGACAGAAAAAATGTGTTGAAAAATTTATTCTTTTGTTTAACTAGAATTTTAATATGTTACAAGAGGTCATCTAAACAAATGAAAAATTTTCTCTGACTGTTATCAGTACCAAAAACACAACACAATAATTATATTATATACAATAACTATAGTCATATCATCCATTACTGAAAATCCATTACTTATGGAGATATTGAATTTTGAATATTTGAAAACTTTGAACTCGATTTTCTCAAAACTATGTTTTATGAGACGGTGATCACTGTAACTTGAGAACGGCTTTACCGATCGGTTTGAAATTTATACCACTTATTTGATATATAATTGTCCGGTACATGGACGAAGGATTTTATTTTTTGACAATTACTTTTTTTATAGCCGAAAATGTGAGTAAAATTTTGGTCAAAATACAATTTTTGACCTTCAACATCCGCCATTTTGCGAAAAATCAAAATTTCTTAAATTCCTTCGTCCAAGTAGCGCATTATATCATTAACTAACGATTCCTTCTTTTCGATTTGAATTTAGATGATCCAGTTAAGAGATAGCGTGATCATCGCGAAACCATTTTTATTTAAGGAGATAATGCAAATCGACGCCTCCCGTTCATATAATGCTTATTGAAAAACAAATGCAAGATCATTCTTATTCAGTTTTTAGTGCAAGACAATTCTTATTCGATTTTCCGTGCAATAAAATGCTTATTCAAAATTGTGTGCAAAACAATTGCCACTGACAGAACAATAAATGTAACCCTAAATCATCTTTTTAATATTAAATTGCAATTAAATATCTGAGAATTTCAGTGCGTATCTATTGTTATTAGAAAATTTAATACTTGATTATCTTTTACGTATTAAGAAATATTGTTTAAGCAATTGTAATTAAAAATTATATTCAATTGAAAATTTTATAAAACTCATAGTGTAAGCTAATTTCAGATTGTACTTTTTAGCATAGAATTTTGAATAAGCATTTTATTGCACGGAAAATCGAATAAGAATTGTCTTGCACTAAAAACTGAATAAGAATGATCTTGCATTTGTTTTTCAATAAGCATTATATGAATGGGAGGCGTCGAAATGTTGTATCAGTCACATGTTTTTTTATATTTACCTTCTATAATTTCAGAATATTTTCTTGAAATATATATATTTCATGTGGAAAAAGATTTGTTATTAATTATTTTAATGTGTGTCCACAACAAGTTTCTAAAAAAAACAGCTTTTTTTGAAGCTCTAACTGTACGTAACCTTAATGTACGTCATAACTTAATGAGGAAAGAAGGGAAGCCGATGCAGTAGTGAAGTATTTAAAAATCCACATAAAGAGAGACGAGTGGAGATTCAACGAATGTACAGCAGAAATAGAGCTGATGACATTTCGAGAAAGCATTAATATGAATGGATGTAAAGTGGTGTTATGGAATACGCATGGAGAACAATAAATCTTTTTTAAGGGATACATTATCTTGCAGGAAACATGGCTCGATGATTTAATGTCAAAAACGCTAAATAAATTGGATAAAGATTACAAATATTTGATTAAGAGTACAGAAGAGATATCAATAGATAAAAGAGGTAGGTTGTCGGGAGGGTAGATTTTGGGTAATAATTAAGGATAAGATTATATTAATTAAAGATTAGATTATAAGAAATAAATTAGAAAAGATTATGGAAGAGCATGGTGTAGAAATAGAGTGGAAATCTATTAAGGATATGGTGTGGTTTGCAGTTAGAGAGGTGGGATCGAAAAAATGCTTGGGAGGTAATAGAGGGGTGATAACAGAAAGAGGTATTGGGAAATTTTGAGAAAAATGTAGGGAAATAAAAAAAAGTATTTGAAAGTTTAAAGGATTGGTTAGAAGATAAAAGCAGCATAAAGAGAAGAATTCAGAAGAATAGAAGTCAGCTAAGAGGGATAGATAGGGATGAAAGGAAAAATGGATAGAAGAAAGATTAGAAGAGATTAATAATGCATAAGGGACATTGCGGGATAGCGGAAAGCAATTGATAAATTTCCAATATTTAAAGGACTGATTGGACAAAATAGCATTATAAGGATAGTCAGTGAATAGATCATTTTGAAGAATTATTAAACAATAGGGATATAAGGGAAGGTGAAGTGTCTAAGGAAGCATCTATATTATTGTCAGTACTTAATGCAATTTGTAATGAGGGAAATCTTCCCAAAGGATGGGAAAAAGCAAAAATTAGACCTTTGTACAAAGATGAAAATGTGAACTCGGTAGATAACAATAAAAATAGGTAAAATAGTTAAATATAGGGATATCTAACTATTGGATTCTAGACGTAAAGTATTAACTGATATAATTTCTAACTGATGAAATAGTTAGTTTTCTATAAATATTATTAATTATTTAGAATATTTATAAATATTATTAATTATAATATTATTAAATAGATATTCCGTTTGAGCAATTTTTTAAATTACATAAATTTTACTCTACTATAGAATTTATTTGAGCAGAATTTCTGTTTACTACAATTTCCATTTGTCAGAATGTCCATATGCTAGAAATTTTATTGAATACAATTTTTATTTGACTAATGGAGCTTCGTCGCACGAACTTAATTTCTATATATCAAATATTTTTTGTAAGTTTGAGATGTCCGTAAAGTGAAAATTTGCCAATGACAATTCGGTCAAATAAAAATTCTATTAAATAAAATTTCTAGCACATGAACATTCTGACAGATAAAAATTGCATTAAATAGAAATTTTGTTCATTTAATTTATAGTAAAGTGAAATTTATCTAATATAGAAAATTGCGCTTAAATAAAATTTCTTTTAAATAATATTTCAGAGAAATCAAAATTCGGCTGAGAAAGAATTCTTTCTAATATTTTTTTATGTCTATTAAAAATTCGTTTATATATGACATTTTGTTAAAAAAAAATTCTAGCAAATGAAAATTTTGATAAACTAAAATTCTACGTAATGTGAATTTTGTCAAATAAAATTTGTATTATGAAAAAATTTTGTACTATAGAAATTCGTTTAAATGAAAATTAACAATTTCGTTTATTTAAACATTCAAAAATATAGGGAAATATCCTTCTAACTTGGATATATAATAAATAGAAACATTTTATTATCACGTACGATTTTTAGGAGTATAACATATATATATTGAAAATAACTAGATATATTAAAATATTTTTCTATATATTTATAATAATTTAAATTGATTACGTTGACAAAACTAAATGTTTGTTTAACGATATACAGATACAGAAATAAAGAAAATTGAAAAATATTAGGTATAGAAATATTAAAAACTGGTAAAAAGAAGAGGTGGATTTGAAAAAATAAATAAACGTATGATTGAAACTAAACATAATATGTAACATAAATAAAAAAATAAAAGAGAAAAAATATTTTCCTACACGACATATATTTGCAAAACGAAAAAAATGTTCGATTATAATAACGTGTAGGATCTTTCTCAATTTGTTTGTGAGTGGTATTGCGTCAGTTAGTGTGTCGTTTCAGCCACGTGTGCCTTTTCTGAATCACGTATCACAATAATTATCATATGTATTATTTGTTTTAAAAAATTAGTAACTTCACCTTGAAATTTGTATATTTTATTTATAATATGAAAAAAAAGTAAATTAAATATTGAATAAATATTAAAATGAACATTAAAAATGAAAATTATTTTTAAAATTAACAAAAAATAATAAAATAACGTAAAAGCAAGAAAGAAATATAATGTTTTTAAGTCATGTAGTATTTGTTTCAGTTCATTTCGTCACCAACTAACTTAAACTATTTTCTTTATCTACCAAAGGTTGTGTGCACTACAAAGGTTTCTCCCCACTGCAGTGGGCAAAAAATCTCAATTATAATGGCTTTTGGGGGGAGGGAAAAAAAAGTTCGAAAAATAAAGAGTAACATATGTCACCTAAATGAAATCTTACCGCGGTTTGAAGGCCGATCAAAGGTCCGGTCAGTTTCCGTCACTATCTATCCCTTTTCAACTTTTATCCGTTCTTGTCTTTTAGACTGTGTGGAGCGAGCCTAAAACTGTTTCTCTGCTCTGATCTTGTTTTCTGAAAAAATCGAGTCCACAATATGCATCAATAATAACGGGAAAGATTTTACATTCGAGAAAAATAATAAAATTTCTTCTACTCAGAAAAGTGACACTTTGGAAAAAACGAATAAAATATCATTTTCTACTTTTATTTTTTAAAACAAGTAACATTTCAGAAAAAATTTCTTTTTTCAGTGAAAAAAATAAAAAAAATAATTTTCTTAAATTATAATATATAATACTAATATTTTGAAAAGAGGAAAGAAAATAAACTTTAATTATTATTATTATTATTGATTTTAAAAGGTCAATAATTATTGGTTTATCATGGGCAAAAAGTGATTGTTTTTATATTCCCTTTTTCCAAGCTTTCACAAAATTCTAATTTGTCGTTTATGACAGAATTGCAATGATTAACTAACTACAGAGTACTAAACAGCTCATGAGCACTCGTTCGAAGATCCTGTTTCGCTAGGCGACATCATTTTCCTCATCCAAGTTCTACTTTTACAAGCTTACTTTCAACAGCAGCTTAAGACTTTTAGAAATAAAAAGAGAGATACAAAGAGATAGAGAACTTGAAAACAGTAAGCAATCAATTTTAAATTCGTGCATAATACATTGTCGTCTTTACAATCAACGTGGTTTATTATTGTTTAAGTCAAATTTTTGTTCACTCAAATGGTTTTTAAGTAAGCACTCTTTATAGAGAAATGAGGATTTAAAGATGTACGTCTCTCGTCATGCTGACTATTAATAGTTAAGTCTAATGTACAATTTTCGAAATAATCTTTTTCCTCTGTATTTTAGTGCAGGCTTTCCATGCTTTCTAACTACGTGTAGATTTAGTCTCAGTTCATCTGAGCTTACATTATTCGATTGTGTAATTTCATTTTCATTTACACTTTAAGTTTGTCTTTAGTTTTCTCTTACACTAATCAAAAATGAAAATGAAAGCACTGCAAAAAGAAGTAACTTTTTTGTCACTTTTATGTAAGATACTTAATTTTTGCAGTGAGTCAGATTCACATTTAAAGTAAAATAAAATATTCATTATATCGCATTAGTTAAATTATTTATAATTTTATCATTTATAAGGTCGAGTTGAATGCAGTATTAATAATTAATAATTAACAATTACAGACTTCGCACTCTATAATTACATTTTAAAAAAGTAGCAAAAAGTAGCTTTCAAACTAAAAAAAGTAGTAAAAAAATAGCTATCGAAAAATTAAATTTGACGACTACAAAAACTCATTTTAGACATTTCACAAAACTGACAATAATTTCATTCTGTATTTTAATTTCCTGACTTTTTCCAAATTTTCATCAAAAATATTTCTTATCCTGCCAATAAATTGAATTCCTGCAACGAATTTTATCATTCATGAAAGAATTTTAATATTTATAATAATCGCATTTTCCGTAAGGTTCAAAGTCGCTTACCGTGTAAGCGACTTTCGCCTTGACGGCAAATGCGACTTACTACGTTTTTACTTTAGGCAGCAGAAATGTCTGTGTCATTTTATTAAATTTTTTTGAAAATAATTGCATTCCTAAAAAGCATTTTATTATTTGTAAAAATAATTGAATTCTTGTGAACGATTTGATTAGAATGTTTTTAAATAATTGAATTTCCAAGAAAAAATGTATTACTTTTAAAAATAATTGAATTATTGTGATGAATATTGTTATTTATAAAAACAATTGAATTTTCATGAAGATTTTTACAAAAATTTTTTTTTTCAATTCAATTCTGTTTGGAAATTTTATGAAAATAGTAGATATTGAAAATATCATAGAATTGCGAAAAGTTCTTAAAAATAATATAATTTTACAAAGAATTCAATTAACGTTTTTGACAATAATTAAATTCTTGCGAACAATTTTATTACCTACAATTTTTTTAAATAATTGAATTTTCAAGAAGAAATTTATTACTTTTTAAAATACATATTTGAATTCTTGTGATGAATATTGCTATTTATGAAAATAATTTTATTAAAATGCTTCAAAATAATTGAATTTTCGGGAATAATTTTGTTATTTATCGACCGGATATAATTGAATTCTTTCCAAGAATTAATTATTATGTAAATAATTGAATTCTTGGGAAGAATTTTGATAAAGTCTAAAAGAATAATTAAATTATTTCAAAAAAAAAATTTAATTAAAATTGCATTAAAAATATTTGATTGCTTTCGAACAATTTTATTAAAATATTTGAAAATAATTGAATTCCTGAGAAAAATTTTATTATTTATGAAAATAATTGAATTCTAGCTTATCAAATTTTTTAAAAAAAATTGAATTTCGATGAAAAATGTTATTATTAGTAAAAGTATTTGAATTATTGTGAATTTTTTTTAAAATGTTAGATATTGAAAATGATTGAATTTCGAATATTTTTTGAAAATAATTGAATCGTTTTAAACAATTTGATTATCATTGTTGAGAATAGTTTTTGATTTCTGGAATTAGGGAATTTAAAGTAGTGGAAATTCTAAAAAATCAGAAATAGTATAGCTTTTAGTGGCAGAAATCTAAAAAAAGTACCCAAATAGTAGCATAACGTCAAAAAAGTAGTAAATAGTAGGTTTTAGTATAGATAAGTGCGAAGCCTGCAATTAATAATTTCAATTCAATTTTATCCAAGGGGTCGTTCATAAACTACGTCACACTCCTAGGGGTGGGGGGGGTCTCAAGCTGTGTGTGACGAAGTGTGGGAAAAAAATTTTTTTTGATGTAAAAAATGTGACGAATGGGGGGAGGGGGTAAAAATCAGTCCGAAAAAGCGTGACGTAGTTTGTGAACGACCCCCAATCTTGATTTAATCTTGAATCAATCTTATATGATATAATATTCAGTTTATTTATTGCTGTGGGCTTAATTAAATAATATTACGCCTATAATTATTATTTGTAATATTCTTAAAATGGAAACCGTTTAACAATCCCTCCGAATCAATTTTTCTAAGCTTCTTAAATTTCATGTATCGACAGCATTGATTTGGAACGAAAATTAAATCAAATTTTTTTAATTCGATTTTTTGGTACATTTTTATGTTATTTGACCTCAGGAATTCTAAAATGTCATTCCGTATATGTGTGTGTGTGTGTAAACATTACATTTTCATAAATATATCGAGTTTATGAAGAGCTTTGGGGATAAATTTTTTTTTAAATTGTAGGTTTCATGTGCGGACATAAAATGAGAGTACTTTAAGATATATTAATAAAGTTTAACTATATTTTTTAGATTTTTAATTTTGAGAAAAAAGTTTTTTGCCTATATCTTTAAAAAAATGTTAGGACACCTATAAATGTTCTTTCCCAATTTTATAGAGTTTTTTAGATGCATCTTTTGAGCCTTTTTGAACATTGTTCGTCCATATTAGCCAGAGATATTAAACTTTTAAACATATATAATTTTTGAAAATAAGATTTTTTTAAAAAAAATTTGTTAAAAAATGTAGGAGTAACTTTCAAAGTCGTATAACCAACGTGTAGATTAAAAAACGCTTCAATTGACCTATTCTTGAACATAATTCGATTAGAAATTACGAAATTATTGGTATTTTAAAATAAAAAATTATGAAAAATATTTTCCAAATTTATAGTAAAAATAATTTTATTAGCAGAAGTGTTTAATGTAATAAAATTTATGTAATAAAAATGTATGTAATAAAAAAAATAAAATAAATTGATCAAAACAAATATCCATGAGGAAGCAAAGTGTTCATGAAATGAACACAATATATTCATCTTTTAACTTGGCAACGGTTTTATAATATTCTTATGACAATATTTTAAATATTTTTTTGGTAATATTTTATATTATTATTTAATTATTTAATGTAATAATTAACATTAAGATCATGTTATTCAGTGGTCACGGAAATTTTTCGTTGTTTATAAAAGTTTTCAAAATTGTCATTAACCCTCACGGGCTCGAGCCGGGTCCCTCGGACCCGGAGGAAAGTTTTTTTGATCTACTTCCGGTTAAAAAAATATTATTGGAAAATCAACTTCACATTAGGCTTGGGGACGTAAAAACACATATTTTTCATCAATATAAACAATTCTTTATTTCTAAAATATTCTAGAAAAATTACCTTTTAAGTCGAACATACGTAAGGGCTCAAGCCGGGTCCGAGGGACCCGGGCTATGAAAAAAAATTTAAAAATTTGCAATTTTTATGCAATATTGGATTTATTTATGGTATTTTTATCAACAACTGCCATAATAAGTGATAACATATGCTTAATACATCGGTAAATTTAATAGAACAAAAAATACACATTAAAAAAATCTTGCTTAATAAGTATGTAGTTCGATTTATTCAAAATGACTCATTAAATTTATTAAACAAATTTTAGTTATATCTTGATTACTTTTCAATATTTAAAATTTTTTATGCAATTATATCATTAAAATTGAATATATGAAAATATATATATTATATGAATAATAATAATAATAATAATAATAATATGAATATATTGAAAATATGAGAAGCACTTTGCTATTAAATTTTATTTTTTATTGCATTGAAACATCCGGGTCCCTCGGACCCACCTTGTGCGCGCATTTCAAAAATCGAACTCGAGCCTGTGAGGGTTAATTATTTAAGGGGTTACATGGGTCAAAACGACCTGAAAACGTATTTATCTGAAAGTACACTATTAAATAAGTAAGATATAAAATTTTTGACAAAAAGTATTAAAAATCAACCCCGTAGCAACAGTTCCTCAGGTCCCTTTCTAAAAAATTGCTTTTGCGGTGGTCAAGATATCTTTTGACTGCTTCGTGTAAAATCAAAATACAAAATATTTTCTGTTGGTTGGTGAATATATCTCGTGATTGAACGAAGGGTTTTTAAAGAAATTGAAATTTGGATTTTTGACGTTGTATTTTGTTAAAAGTTACAATTTTTAGAACCATTAAGACCATGTAAAATCGGTTCTATACTGAGAGAAATGGATAGTCAGATTTTGATGTTAAAAAGATGATGTT